CAATTCAATTCAATTCAATTCAATTCAATTCAATTCAATTTGATGCTTCGCGTCTGCCCTGCACTTAACTGCAGGGCACGCATGTGCAGGGCAATAAAATTGTTCTGTGCATGCACAGAAGCAAAAAACAAGATGGCGGCACCCGCAGAACCGGTTTGGGGGCGTGGCAGGCCTGGATCGCTGCCGGTTCCAGCCACTCAGGCTGTCAAACCACTACCGGTTTAGCTGGATGAAAAACGGGCCTACCAGAAGTTCAGGAAGCGCCTCTGGAGCTTGGGGAGGTGGTTTTCACAAGCTCGGAAAAAAACCCTCCGGAGCCTGGGGAGGGCAGAAACACTCCCCTGCCCCTCCGTGGTGCAGGAGGCTGACTAGCCACACCCACTTTGGCCACGTCCACCCAGAACTGGGCAGAGAACTCCTTGTTAAAATTTTTGAAGCGCACCCCTGGGTTCACTCAAAATGTCCATAACATCCTGATGGAAGCCCAGACAAATTTGCCTTTCGACAATATTGAAAGTTCAACAAACTTCTCATTCCCAATATGCAAGTTTACCTCTCAACTTTCTCAAAGGTGTGATGCAAGGCTTACATTGCTGTTCTTATTTTTCCATCACAGGGGATGGGGACGTAATTTATTTTGGCTTTCACCAGGAAGTCAAGCTGCCATTCATAGCCCCATTTTATTGGGGAATGCAGTTGTGGCTCAAGATTTATATAGTGTCCCTTTAATGACTGGCTTCCTCCCTAGCTACTCTTTCTCTGCATTAGTGTTCATAGGACAAAGTGTATAAGGACTTCACAGTGTCAGCATCTTGCCCCTAACAATCTGGGTCCTCATTTTATCGACCTCAGAAGGAAGGAAGGCTGAGTCAACCTTGAGTTGCTCAGGATGAAACTTCGGCCGCGGGCAAAGTCTGCCTGAAATACTGCACTCTAACCACTGTGCCCCCAGGCCTCCTAATCATAATAATGTGATAATGAAGTTGGTGCTGGTAAGGATACTGTTACCTTTGCAAACTGGACAGCAAGAGTCAGACGTGGACACTGGAGAAGTGCACGTTAAATTGGGACAGGTCTTCAAACCACAGTATACCTTTCCTTCCTGCAGGAAAGAATCAAACAGAAAACAAAGTGGGTTGTGATACTTGGCGGATGCCGAGTTTCCGACGCTTACAATAAAGCAATCCAAAGTTCATTCTTCTTTCTTCTCTTTTTTTCTGGAAGTGTTTTAAACTGCAGTGAAGGTTCACAGAATCAACAAAAGATCTGCAAAAGATCTGAATTCCCCAGAAGAGAATCTGTTTGACTTCATCATCAGCAGAAATAAACAAAAATGAATCCTTTAAAATCTTGCGAGCCGCAGGGCAAAATAAACAACAACACTTAATAATAACAGAATAGCAGAGTCAGGAGGGACCTTGGAGTCCAACCCCCTGCTCAAGCAGGAGACCCTCTATCATTCCAGACAAATGGCTGTCCAATCTCTTCTTAAAAACCTCCAGCGATGGAGCTCTCACAACTTCTGGAGGGAAGGCATCCAACTGATTAATTGTTCCGGGATTAGTAGTAGTATAGCCTTTATTGTCATTGTACAAAATAAATACAATGAAATTGGTTTTAGACTCACTGGTGCATTCCATGACAACAAATATAAACAACATAAATTATAAAAAGAATAATCTCTATATAAGTGATTAGGGGGGTGGGGTAAAGAAAAAGAAAAACTAGGCACAAGTTTCCATGTGTGCATGGAGTGATTTTGGTTGTGTTTAAGTCAGACAGCCCAAGGATAGAAACTATTTTTAAACCTAGAACAGCAATTATAGAACAGCAAAGTGAAGGTACTCAAGTGATCTATTCATATAGCTTTCAAACTATATTTGGGGAAGTTTGAAGCTCCTTGGAAGTGAATCCAAGGTTCCAGGGTGGCAGAATGGCTTCTCTGAATTGGAGGGCCATTCTCTTCTAGAATGGCACAAGAGAAGTCCCTTGTTCCAAAATCAGAGCTAGAAATATGCATAGATGCTTATTCTTCTCTTGTGTCTTGATGGTCAAAGTGTGAATTGTTTGTTGACTTTGTTGTGTGAACTTCGTTGATGGCAATTCAATTGATTCATATCTCGGAGTTGAAGCCACAAATGTTTGAACCAAATCAACCAGGTTTTAGACATCAGGAAGGAATATAAATGCTTTTGTTCCCTACTATTCAGTCAGAGCTTCTTGGATGAAAAGTGAAATGCCTTCAAAGAAAAACAAGAAAGTCCACTTGCATCTTGAAAAAGTACCTTTGAGATTCTTCTATTATGTATCTATCTATCTATCTATCTATCTATCTATCTATCTATCTATCTATCTATCTATCTATCTATCTATCNGAGGAGGGAATTATGATTTTACAGTATCCTTCCCCTGGAGTGGGGAGGGAATGGAGATTTTATAGTATCCTTCCCCTGGGAGTGGGGAGGGAATAGAGATTTTACAGTATCCTTCCACTGGAGTGGGGAGGAAATGGAGATTTTACAGCATCCTTCCCCTCCCACACCCACAAAGGTATGCCCACCAGACCATGCCACGCCCACAAGCCACGCTCACAGAACCGGTAGTAAACTTTTTGGAATCCTACCACTGAGCCATTTGCTTACACCCCAAAAATTGTTTCTGTCCTATGCACCATGTACCCTCCATAATCCAATACAACGTCAACCTACCTGGGCAAACTTTGCAGCATTGCCCTTTAATTTTCTTCGGGTGTTCGCAGGGATATTGATAGGGACACTGGATTGTTTTACATTCTGGCTTAGTGCCCTTGCAAGTACATAAGACACATTCCACAGTACCATGGAGCCGGAGCACGGGATGCCAGATTTCTCCCTGTGAGTAGGTTTTTCCATTTGAAATGCACACTGGAAGAAAGAATGGATGCGAATCTTAGATTTCAGAAATAGATATTTAGTCGCCACAATCTTTCACTCTGTGGCCATTTCTCTCACTAGTAACATAATAATAGAGTTTGAAGAGACCTTACAGGTCTTCTAGTCCAATCTTTTGCTCAAACAGGAGACCCTATACCTGTGATGGCAAACCTATGGCATGCGTGCCAGAGGTGGCACACAAAGCCCTCTCTGTGGGACGCGTGCTGTCACCACTGCTCTTCTGGTTTCCAGCATGCACATGTATATTGGCCAGCTGGTCTTCGCGGGTGCTGGAGCGCCAATAAACAGAGTGAAAACAGCGCCCAAAACAGCTAGAAAACAGGCAGTTTTCTGGGCCATTTGCAGGCCATTTTCTGGGCTGTTTTTTGGAAAATGCCCAGAAAATGCCCCCCCTAAACGGCCTGAAAACAACCTGAAAAACGGCCAAAAAACAGGTATGCACGTGCTGGCAAGCTGGTCTTTAGGTTTTTGGGTGTTCCGGCTTGTGCGAAGACCAGCTGAATGGTGCACACTCACATGCCAGAAACCCAAAGATCAGTTGGCCAGTGTGCACCTGCATACTGGCTAGGTGGTCTTCGGGTTTCCAGGGCTCTGGCGCATGCATGCACAATGCATTCCGGTTTGGGCACGGTGCCAAAAAGATTCACCATCACTGTCCTATACCATTCCAGACAAGTGGCAGTCCAATCATTTTTTAAAGGCCTCCCGTGATGGAGCACCCACAATTTCTGGAGGCAAGCCGTTCCACTGGTTAAGTGTTTCTCATTGTTAAGAATTTTCCCCTTAGTTTGTGACGTATTGCGTCTCATGGAACAGGATAATCTAGGAGTTCTGTTGTATGGGAAGAAATCTAAATACTATTACACCTAAATCCAGAATAATTTTGAATCTGGGAAAAATGGGGTCAAAATTTAGAGATTGGTTGTGTTCATTGGTACAAAGAATAACTAATGGGAAAACTCAAAGAGATCAGATAATTAAAGAAAAGTCTGACAATTATTTTGTTCCCATTTGGGACAAGGGGAGAAAAATGAAGGGTCCTTGGTGCTCTCTGAGCATGGCTGTTTTCTTGTAGACATTTCATTACCCAACTAGGTAATATCATCAGTGCTAAAAGGGAGTGGAGGTCTAGCACTGATGATGTTACCTAGTTGGGTAATAAAATGTCCACAAATAATTAGCAGTAGATTCTCCCCAAAAGTTGTAAAAATGTTACTTGATGTTTGACCAATCCTAACTTAGTTTGATAGAAGTAGAGATGCCCTAATATCATATTTTTATCACCCAGATGCTACTGCTTGTGCCATGACAGAAAAGGCCCTGGGAATGTCTGGAGATTTTCAGTCATCCAGATTATGGTTGTCCCAAAGATGCTTTTTCAAAAGGCAATTGGACTTTGGTTTTCCTTGAAGACATTTAGCTTCTCATCCAAGAAGCTTCTTCAGTTCTGACTGAAGAAAGTCCAGTTGCCTCTTGAAAAAAGCATTTTGGGCCAAGCCCTGGGAATGCACAGGAGCGTAAAGATACCATCTTCCGGAACTCTGTAAATCATCTATGTCTTTAAAGAGTTGCAGACACTTGTTATGTTCATATGCTTTAAAGTCCCTGTAGTAACGCCATCACTCTGCTAAGCAAATAATTCCCTCACCACTTTCAAAATAGTCACTAAGTCTGCATTACTATTACTCTTAGTCTTCTCATTGTTCCTATCACTCATCTCCTCCCACTTATGACTGCAGGACTGTAACTTTGTTGCTTGTATCCTTACGATTTATATGGATATTGATTGTTTCCTGATTGCTTATTTGTACCCTATGACTATCATTAAGTGTTGTACCTTAGGATTCTTAACTAATGCATCTTGTCTTTTTATGCCCACTGAGAGGATCTGCACCAAAGACAAATTCCTTGTGTGTCCAATCACACTCGGCCAATCAAGAATTCTATAAAGAATTCTATTCTATT